TCTCTCCACCACTTCTCTCTGTGCCTCTCCGCTTCACTCTCCTCCAGGCCCTGATCCTAGAGACTGGGGAGCTCCATCAGGGAGAGAGGGAAGAAGGGCGGGCAGGGGCGGCAGCCGAGGGGGCAGGAAGAGAAGGTAGAGGGAAGGAAGAGGCGCAGACCCACTTGGACCAAAGTGTTTAGAGAAAGACACAGCCACACCGAAGGGTCTCACTCTAGCTGCACGACCACAGAACCTCAAAGGTCTTCCCACTCCTCACAGGCTCCTAGAGGAAGTTTTCACACCTTCCTGTCTTGACCCCATTCTCAGCACCTCCTCCCCTCTTCTCAGCTGATGAGCCGGCTTCCTAATTAACAGAAAAAAAAGATGCAAAAGTCAGAAGTCCACACCCCCCACCTTATATCTACCAGCCTCTGGACAGCTGTCCCCTGTCCTCTGCCTTCCTGCCTGTCGCCAAGGCCGGACTGTCCAAGCCCCCTCCAAGGCCACCCCTCTCCTACGCTAGGACCCCATCCAGCAGCGGCCCCTCCCCCTTCTGGGTTGTCCCTGTTTTCCTTTCTCCCTGATCATTCCCACCATCAGCTTTCAAGCAGGCCGTTTTCTTCCCATCTGAACATACTTTCTCTGGGGTGGATGGTGTTCACCGTATCACTCCGTCAGCTTTTGGGAGAGTTTGAAATTTTTCAAAATATCAAGTTGAGAGGCCGCTTTCTCTCTCTCTTCCCTTTCCATTCCTTCCCTTTCCTTCCTTAACAATTCAGTCCAAAAGGTCCAAAAGGCGGGAAGGGGGGCAGGCCATGCAGCAGCTGCTCTGGGTGGCCAGGCGTGGGTGGTAGGCCTGTGGCCGGGTGACAGGGGAATCCACACAGGAGGGCGTCCTGGTGGGAGGTATCAGAGCTTGGGGGGTGAGGAGGAGTCCTTGCATGGGGTCAGCAGCCCAGAGAGTGAGGAAGGCAACGTGTGGGGTGAGGGCAGCAGCCCTTGATGCGGGGTGAGGAGGGCGCCTGGGGGGTCTGGTGACTGCGGCCCCTCCTCTGCCTGATTCTCCTTGGCACGGATTGCCATGCAAGGTATTGTGAACGCACTTGTTTGTTTCTTGTTTATTTCGGTATTGTCTGCCCCTCCCCCACTAGAATGTCCTCGGGGGCATGGACGTTGGTCACCGCTGTATCCTCAGGGCGCAGGACTGTGTCTGGTGACATTTGACAACACGTGTTGAATGAAAGAGTGAAACCTGTAGCCCCCCTGCCCTTGACCGTCACACAGACAGCGAGGCCTGGCGACACCTGTGTGTGGTGGAGAAGAGAGAGAAGTGAACCATGAGTGGAGTTTCTGTTTTGGCCACTGGGGGAAAGAGGGACAACTTTCACTGACGCAGGAAGGAAGTGATGGACCGGGCAGGTGGGGCGGGAAGTTGGGTTGGGGGCAGATTCCGTTGGAGGGGACGGCCAAATGCCCAGGTGGAGATGCCACGAGGCTGCTGGAGAGCCAGCTGGGGAGCTTGGGAGGCAACCCCTGGGGGCAGAGGCAGCTGGATGTCCCCAGGCACAGGAGCGGAATGGAGCTGGGAGAGGGAGAGGGGAAGAAGGTAAGAGCTGGGGCTGAGCTGCCCAGCACCAAGCTTAGCGGGGAAAGCGGCTCTGGAACAATCTGCCACTTGTGTGCAGGAACTGAAAAAGGAATAGGAAGTTTGGGGGAACATACAACATTTTTCAATTTGCAGCAGAATGAGCTTGCTGCCCAATACCTGCCCCCAAACCACGGGCAGCTGGAGCACAGCAACACGAGGGTTTACCCTCATTTCCCCATGCCTGGAGGAAGCTGGGTAGGAAGGAAAGTGAATTCCCCGTTCTGCAGATCGTTCGCTTGGCCGAATCACGGCACACCTTAGCCAAACGGGCAGCAGGGAGGGCGGACTGAGCGCAGTGACGTGCGGCTGGGACAGTGGTGGCGTTTACCTCGCATCGCCACCAGGTGGCACCCGTGCTTCCCTGGAGCCCAGACGGGAAGCCCCAGAGGTTGAGGGAGCGGGAGCCCGCGAGAGAAGGTGGGCTGGGCAGCCGAAAGCTCCGCCCCGGGACTCCAGCTCAGCCTCGTCAGCGTGCAGCCTCCCATCCCATCCAGTCCTCCTGAGGGTGTGTGTGTGTGTGTGCAGCCAAAGCTGGCCCCCAAACCAGAGGAGACTGGAAACCCTCATGCACGGTGGCGGAGAGCACAAGCTTTCAGTAGACTTAGGTTCAACTCCCTGTCCGGCTACTTAATGCCGCATAAACTTAGACATGCAGCTTCCCCTCTCTCTGCCTCAGTTTTGTCACCTGTGAGATAGGAGCATAATAGTGACCTCACAGGGTCGTTGTAAGGATTAAATTAGATGATGATGATAAACATACTGAGCTCTCACTAGGGGTCAGGCATTCTTCTACACGCTTTACATATATTAACTCATTTTTAGAGTTCCCTTTTATACAAGAGTGGTTGGGGACCAGAGAGTAAGTCTCCTCCACAAAGGAAAGGAGTCTGGGCCTCCGGCGTCGTGTCCACCATCCCCGCTGGCCCCTGGGTGACGCTCAGTGCTGAGGGGGACTGCTACCCAAGGAGGGCAGAGAGAGGAGGGGACGCCTTTGAGGCTGAAAGCCGAGAGACTCTCTTGTTTCCAGTTCTGCAGCCCAGCGGCCCGCTGGGAGAGGGAGCAGAGGCAGCTGGTGGGGCAGAGCCCACCCCCACTCAGAGAGCAGCAGAGGAACCACTGAGGCAGACAGTGCCTCCTGTCCTGTCCACACTTGGCTTCTGCTGTGGTCTGGCAGCCCTCAGAGGCTTCTGGGAAAGGTGCCCCATCGTGGCAGGAGGATGGTAGTGGTGCATGGGGGGTGAGTGAAGGCCACAGCACGACACCGTGGCTTCAATCTCAGGAACTGTGTGGGTAGCAGAGCCTTCTGCAGGGGGTGGCCTGGACTGGTGAGCCTGGGGAGCTCGGTTTGAGAGCTCTGTGGAATGTTGTGGGGATGCCCAGAGGTAGCTGGAGGTACAGAGGTGGGGGTGAAGAAGGAGATGTGGGTGGCAAAGCATGCTGGAGCACAGGACGAGACCCCCATGGGTCAAGGCTTGAGAGAAACCAGGGAGAAACCTCCCAGGCTTGTGATCTCTGGGAGCCGTGGGCAGGGAAAGGCTTGGGGTGGAACTCCACTGGGAGGGTCCCCAGATGCCCTGGGTTGCCTGCTGTGGTCTGTCCCAGGTGGGGCAAGCAAGGTGAGCTGGGCTTCACGTCCCTGGAGGGATGGGGAGAGCTAGGGTCCTGGAGAGGGCCTGGTCCTGGGTGGGGCGTGGCCTTCAGGAGCATTCCCTCCCCACCCCATCACCTCACTCCAGTCAGGCCACTCGAGTCAATCCCACCTCTTCTCTTTGGGGTCCCCTTCTGATGATGCCTCTCAAGCACAAACTAGGCCTGGGAGGAAAAGAGGGTTCTGAACTCACCTGAAGTTCCGAGTCCTTCAGGCTGTCCGCCAGTTGAGGTCATAAATACCGGCTTTCGTACTGGGGGTTGGTGTCCGCCCTCTGCGGCCGTCAGTTGGCTGACTCCCCCTTCCTCTTCTCTAGCAAAGGGACTGGGACACTGGGGCCTTGCAGCTCACACATGCCAGGAACCAGAACCTCGAGAGATGGGTCTTCAGCAGCTGGCCCTGCTCCACTTTCTTTGCACCAGCTTAGATGTGCTGAGATGAGGGAGCCAGAAACAGCACGCCCCTCCTGCCCTCCCCCACCCACTGTGCGCTCACAGGCCCAGAACAAAAACACACCACAAATAGAAATCAAAGCCTGAGAAAGAATCAAGGAGCCATGACCCAGCCGTGGGGAAAGGCTGTGTGGCCTTGGCTATGTCACTTAACTTCTCTGAGTCTATTTGCTCATCTGTAAAATGGGGTAATTGTACTAACCTTGAGGAGTTGCGAGCCGGTGAGAGAAGATGTAAAATGCAGGATGCAGGTGTGATGTTTGGTCTAAAAATAAAGCCCCTCACAGCCAAAGGGTCCTTACTGGACTCTCCCCTCGCACCCCCCCCACGCCCCCGCGGCTCGGGCTGGGGCTGCCCCCTCACCACTTTCCCGTAAGGCTGTGGTGGAAGGGGGCTGCCGCACTCGCCTGGGTAGCGCTTCTGCAGGTTTGCTCTTGGGCTCCACTTCCTGTTTTTCTCCCCAACGAATTTTGCACCCTGGCTCTTTCATCAGAGAGAGCTGGGGGGTGGCGGGGTGAAGGTGGAGGCCTGCCTGGAAGGAAACCCGGGGGTCAGAGGAACCCGGGGGGCTTCACAAGGCTGGGGAGAGGGGTGTGCTGAATGTGCTCTGCCATCCAGGTGTCAGTCTGGACTCTGGTCTCCAGCTCAGAGAGATGCTGCTGCCAGTGGAGACCAGGAGGCTGGTGAGGGGAGGCTGGGAGGCTGCCTGATGTGAGGAGCAGAGGGGTCCATGTCCCCATCCTCTGTCTGGAAACAGTGATTTTTTTCCTAGGTTTGGGGCAGGACCTAGGGATGGACTGATCCAGGCTAACCCCACATCTCTGGTGACATGAGAGGTGGAGGGGCCACTCTGGAAGGTGAGTCCAGCCTTCCTGAGGCTGTCAGGCCTCTGAGCATCTATTTCCAGGGTCACTGGGTGTCAGGCTTCTCCTGGAAGGAAATGAAGGAGCTGCTCCCACACTGGCTGGGACCAGGACCTTTGTCTTCCTCTCCCTTGGCTACAGAACCTTGACCCCTCCCCTGGGCAAACGCTGACTTGTCCAGCCATGACTGTCATTCACACGTTCATTCGTTCGTTCTACAGCCTCACTTGTAACACCCTCTGGGTGCCCAACACAGAGCTCATGGCCAGGGTGCCAGCCCAGAGCCGCGCAGCGTCCCTGCTCCTGGGAGCAGCTGAGCGCACAGCAGTCACAATCGGGCAGACCGAGCACAGAGTGGGGATGGCATGGCCTAGAGTAAAGATGAGGGGCCCCTCGGGGCAAGGGAGCCAGGCGGGTAATATCTGTGCTGAGTACCCAGGCAAACAAAGTGGTGGAGGGGCTGAAGGAAGAGCTGGGAAGGGCACCCAGGGAAACGGAACAGTGTGAGCAAAGGCCCAGAAGCAGAGGAGGGCCTGGGCGTTCTGGAGCTGCGCATCACAGCTCACGGTGCAGCATGGAGGGCGCGGTGCGGGAAGTGGTGGGAGGTAACCCTGGGGGGCTACCTGGGTTGGCTCTCTTGATTATCGATGTCCACCTTGTTCTCAAGCCGAGTCTCACTCCATTCCCCAGCACAGGTCGCTGTCCCAGCATACAAGCAGTTCCAAGGATCAGAAATCAGCACTGTTGGCTCAAGCAGGAAAGGGGACTTTATAGCGAGGGTCTGGGGTGCTCCGGCGGAACCCAGTGATGCAGCCCAGACTTGGGACGCTGGAACCAGACAGCCCCTGGACACTTGCTCAGCACTGCTTGCCTGTCCCCGTTTGCCTGCCTGCATCACACCTGCCAAGCTGGTGTGTCCTGGATCCCTTCACCCAAAGAGAACTATTTCCACGTCCCAAGCCTGTCTTCCTGGGGAGAAGTTGACTATCCTGTCTTGGATCAGGGCCTCCCTTCTAGCCTTATCAGCTGTGGCCAGTGGTCAGATCTGTGTCCACATGACTACATGAGGGAGGGTTACCAGAAAAGGGGGCCAGACGGACAACGTAATGGTCTACAAGCCGGTCGCGTCCGCTCTAGTCCATTGCATTCTGTCGTGCCCAACATACACCACTTGCTTAACTCCTTCAGCTTTCCCCAGATATCTCCGTTCCTGTTGCCCTTGCTTAACCTTTAACCACAAATACCTCCCCCCTGCCAGATGTGAGACAATCCAAGACATGTCAAACTACTGCGTCCAGGGCTCCCTTCTCAGAGCTGCCAGCTCCAGCTGACACCCACCCCCCTCTGTTTCTGCTGAATCTCCCCTGAGGTGGTTCCTGAGGATCCTCCTCAATCGATAGACTAGTGATCAATGTAACCTCTCCTACCATACTTGATCTATAGAGCAGAAAAGGGAAGCGCCATACAGAGCACACCCCGTGGTCTTCTGAACAGGCAGAGTAAATTAAACATCAGGAACAAGCTATCACATGGGGTTTGCTTTGCTGGTTACCTTCCTTGGCTCCTTTGTTGGCAAACATGGCTGCCACAGCTTCCGCCCACTGGGACGGGATCCCTTGTCTGGAGTCTTCCAGGCCCGCCCTTTAGAGGTTCTTGGGGAGGCTCTTTCTAGGAGGGGGCGCGGCTGCCCTGGCATCCTGCTTCTTGTTGGTGCCAGTACTTGGGCCTAGGAATCACCCAGAGGGTGAGACAAACCCCAATTTGCCAGGTTTTAGGGTTTCCTGGAGTTTCAATCCACAGAAAACCCTAGTTGGTTGACCCCTATTTGGGGTCAGGTCATTACCAATAACCAATGCCATGAAATCCTGTGCAGTTGGATGTTCAGCCTTAGACTGGGCCATGCCCAGGGCTGGGGTTTCTTTTTTTTTTTTTTTTTTTTTAAAGATTTTATTTATTTTATTTTTCCCCCCAAAGCCCCAGTGGATAGTTGTGTGTCGTAGCTGCACATCCTTCTAGTTGCTGTATGTGGGACTCGGCCTCAGGATGAACGGAGAAGTGGTGCCTCGATGCGCACCTGGGATCCGAACCCGGGCCACCAGCATCGCAGCGCGCGCACTTAACCACCAAGCCACAGGGCCGGCCCAGGGCTGGGGTTTCTTAGCAAGAGTAGTGCCGAGTTTTCTCTTTCAGCCTAAAGGTGAGAAGAAGAAATCATCACCTGGCTTGGGGCGGAAGGAAGGCTTTTCTCTCATTTCTCTTGGCATGTCATGCCTGCCTTCGTGCCACTTGACAGTGGGAGGCTTTAGAGGGACCAGAGGTTAAGGGCTGTTTACTCCTGTCCTCTTCCCAGATATCCCCAGTTGCTAAGCTCGCAGACTTTTCCATCCAATGTGCCAACCTTAGTGCTGTAAACAGGGTGTGGCAGAGCATGTGGCTGCTGCTTTGTAGCAAGTGCACGATTACCTGACGCTTGGTGGTCACTGGCTGTAGGAAAAAAGAATTTCCCTTAACAGAGTTAAATATTTGCCCTGCTTTTTCCTGATCTTGAGCAGAATTGAACTGACGCTTGTCTTGTAGCACCTTCTGAAGGCTGCTAGAAGTAAGTCACATACTGCTATCCTGGACGTTTTGCTACCAAGTTTCCTAAAGCGCTAGCCTTAGTTGGTATGTGTTCTGAGTCCCATGAGACCATTGAAAATAGTTTAACTGATCCGTTACCACACAGCAAGAACTGTGGGGGTCCCATCCAAGGATGAGGAATCCTCGTTGCCCCTCACTCTGCCTTGTCACCTAGTTTCAGTACTTTCTTTGAAAAACTGTTTCTTTCAACACCCCACTTCTGATACCAATTTGCGTATTAATTGAGATTTTTTGTTTGTTTTGCAGAAACCAACTCAAGAGAGTTTGTACTGGGTTGAATATCGTCCCCCCAAAATTCATGCTCACCTGGAACCTCAAAACGTGACCTTAATTGGAAATAGGGCCCTTACAGACCTAATTAGTTAAGATGAGGTCACACTGGATTAAAGTGTCCTTATAAGAAGAAGGAAATTTGGACAAAGACCCAGACACACAGGGAGAATGCTATTTGAAGATAGAGGCAGAGATTGGAGTGATGCGTCTACAAATCAACAAACGCTAAGGATTGTAGGCAGCCACCGGAAGCCAGGAGAGAGACGGGGGACAGATTCTCCCTCAGAGCCTCTGGAAGGAACTAACCCTGCCAACACCTCAATTTCAGACTTCTAGCCTCTGGAACTGTGAGAGAATAAATTTCTATTATTTTAAGCAACCATAGTTTGTGGTAAATTGTTACAGCAGCCCTAGGAAACTGAGACAGATTTTAAGCAGAATATGGGAGTAAAGGATAAGGGTGTAAGGGACTTTCAGAAGAACCCAGCAGCGAGAACGCAGTGGGACCTCAAAAAGATACAGGGACCAGGGGCTGAAAAGTGGCGCAAAATTTTCTCTTTCAGCTGGGAGCTTCTCTTCTTCTCTGTGCACCTGTTTCATGGTTTTCTCTCAATCTCTCTCTGCACAGCAGCTTCTCAGATTTCTTTAGTCCTTTTGATAAGAGGCCCCACAGCTCCCCAGCTTACATGTTATGGCGCCCAAGCGCCAGGTGGGTTCTAATTCCCTATTCCTGGAGAAATCACTGACTGGCTCACCTGGAGCCAGGTGACCACCCCTGGTCCAATCGACCTGGGCAGCCCCAAAGGCCAACATATCTGACCCGAGACTGCTGTGATAGCCAGAGGGATACACAGGAGAGTGTTCCTGGAGAAAGGAGCAGGGCGTACACCCAGAGCACTGTGCTCTTGCAGTCTGGCGCTTCCCAGATGGGAGCTCCTGTTGACTGAGGCCCTGCTGTCCACTGAGACTTCCCTGATGCCACCTGTATTCCCAGAGGAGTCCTCCTCCCGGGTTCTCATTCCTACACAGAGTCGCCCCTTCCTGATGGACAGGGCAGACCCATGAGCACCCGCTACAATACGATATGCTTGGAGCCCAGGCAGAAGGGAACCACTGCTCGTCCAAGGTACTGGTGTGAACACCAGGAAGACGGATTAGCTCTGACTCGGGGAGAGGAAATAAAGGTTTACAGTTTTGCATTTTTATTATACATTTGGCAAAATGTGAACAGAAGGAAAAAAATGGAGAGAAAAACCTCTGTAACACTCCTCCCACACAGCTTTCACTGTTGTAAGTCCCCTCCTGCTCCGTACGGTACATGTGTGACACTTGCTGACAGTGGAGCCCCAGCACAGAGGCAGGTCAGCATTAAGGCTTTCACTTGATGACACGATCATTTCCCATGATGCCACAGGTCTCCAGAATCACCATTGTCCATTGCTGCATACGATCCCATTAAGTGGATGTGCCATGCCTTCCTCTGGACAGTTGTGGCCAAGGGGAGAAGGCAGACTCTCAAAATGTTGAGGGGACATATTTTCTTCCTTCCATTTTTGGTTCATGGGCTGACTTACTGCTTTGCTTGTCCAATAGGCCCCACGCCCTTCCCATCACCTAACTTCAGGGTGGGAGGAAGGCTATCACCTAATAGTGGAGATGGCGGCTCAGGGCTTCGGCAGATGGCATTCAGGAACCCCCACCTGTCAACTGGGTGGGTGACCTTGGCAAGTTACCTACAGCGTTGCCTCAGTTTCTTCCTTTGTAAAGTGGGGATAACAACAGCACCCACCTCACAGGGTTACTATGGGATGAAACAGGATAATGCATGAAGGGACACAGCTGATTACTCAACAACGTTTCTGCCTTTTTTCATCTGCTTGTGTAACCCAGACCCTTCCCGTGAGGCCACATCTTGGTAATAATCATGACTGGTTGCATAATAATCCATAGAAGAAATAGGTGTGTGTTAGTTTCCTGTAGCTGCTGTAACAAATTGCCACAAACTGTGTGGTTTAAAACAACAGAAATAGGCCGGTCCTGTGGCTTAGCGGTTAAGTGCGTGCGCTCCGCTACTGGCGGCCTGGGTTCGGATCCCGGGCGCGCACCGAGGCACCGCTTCTCCGGCCATGCTGAGGCCGCGTCCTACATACAGCAGCTAGAAGGACGTGCAACTATGACATACAACTATCTACTGGGGCTTTGGGGGTAAAAATAAAAGGAGGGGGATTGGCAATAGATGTTAGCTCAGAGCTGGTTTTCCTCAGCAAAAAGAGGAGGATTAGCACAAATGTTAGCTCAGGGCTGATCTTCCTCACAAAAAAATTAAAAAAATAAAAATAAAACAACAGAAATTTATTCTCTCCTGGTTCAGGAGGCCAGAAGTTCAAAATCAAGGTGTGGACCGAGCCATGCTCTCTCCAGAGGCTCCAGGGGAGGATCCTTCCTGGCCTCTTCCAGCTTCTGGTGGCTCCAGGCGGTCCTTGGCTTGTGGCAGCGTCACCCTAGTCTCTGCCTCCTTCTTCACACGGCCTCTCCTCTTGTCTGTCTCGAATTCCCTCTGCCTTTCTCTTATAATGACACTTGTCATTGGATTTAGGGCCCATCCAGATAATCAAGGATAATCTGCTCATCTCAAGATTCTTAACTTAATTACATCTGCAAAGACCCTTTTTCCAAATAAGGTCACATTCCCAGGTTCCGGGGACTAGGAACATAGTATCTTTTGGGGTCCACCATTCAGCCCACTACAGGTGGAAACTGGCTTTCTTCTAATCCTAACTCTTCTCCTTCTCAGCATTTACACTTTTTCATTCTCATTTTCCTGTCTGGGGAAAAAGTAGCCACTGTTTGCCTTCTCATTGAGGTCTTTGGGGTTTCATGTGGGGATGCTCCTCAGACTAGGTGCTTATAAAGATAGGTCTCTATCTAGAGGGGCATTTATCTAGACAGAGGCTTTCAGAGCAGGAGGTAGAGCATGCGGTGGGGTGAGGGGTGAGCGAGGCCTGCTCCGCCCAGCGCTGCCCCTTCTGCACCCTATCGCAATGCTTTGACTGTCTCCAGATCACTTTCACTGTATCATCTCTTTTTAGTCTCACAATCTCTGAAGTTGGAGTAACAAATCCCATTTTACAGAGGAGGGGACAGACTGGAGGATGTGGGGGCAGGACAGGGTCTCAGCATCCCCAGAGGAGAAGGTTCCAAAATCCCTCCTCCTCCCCATCAGAGTCCCAGGGCAGGCCCTCCAGGGGCGAGAGTAAGGCCTGCCTTCCACTTTCCGTACTTCCCCCTTCTCTGACTCTCCCCCCATCCCCAAACCATTGTATTCCAGGCTTTGAACGGTAATGTCCCTGCTTCCTGCACAGCCTTCCCTGGCCCCAGGGGATTCGGCCTGGTTCTGCCCCCCTCCCCCAACCATTCTAATCCTTTTTTCTTTTAATAAGCTTTTAACTTTAGAATAGTTTTAGATTTACAGAGAAGTTGCCAAAATAGTATAGAGAGTTCTCATATACCCCACACCTGGTTTCTCCCATTGCTAACATCTTACATTGCATGGTACACTTGTCACAACGAATGAATCAATATCGATACATGATTGCTAACTAAAGTCCATACTTCATTCAGACTACCTTAATTTTTACCTAATGTCCTTTTTCTGTTCCAGGGGCCCATCAGGACACCACATGACATTTAGTTGGCATGTCTCCTTGGGCTCTTCTTGGCTGTGACAGTTTCTCAGACTTCCCTTGCTCTTGGTAATCTTGACAGTTTGGAGCTTTGGTCAGATATTTTTGTAGACCGTCCCTCATTTGGGGTTTCTGTGGTGTTTTATTTGTTTTTGTCTGCTGACCAGACTGGTGTTTCTGAGTTCTTGGAAGGAAGACCACGGAGGCAAAATGTCATTCTCACCACATTGTATGAAGGGTACCTGCCGTCAATGTGACTTATCGCTGATGATGTTGACCTTGATCACATGACTGAGGTGGTGCTTGCCCAGTGTCTCCACTGGAAAGTTCCTCTTTGTCCTCCCTTCCATACCTTCCTCTTTGGAAGGAAGTCACTAAGTGCGGCCCACAGTTAAGGAGTGAGGAGCTAAACTCCTCCTGCTTGAGGGCAGGGGAAGAATCTACCCAAATGACCATATTTGGAATTCTTTTTTTTTTTATTTTGTGAGGAAGATCAGCCCTGAGCTAACATCCGATGCCAATCCTCCTCTTTTTGCTGAGGAAGACCAGCTCTGAGCTAACATCCGTGCCCATCTTCCTCCACTTTATGTGGGATGCCGCCACAGCATGGCCTGACAAGCGGTGCGTCAGTGCACGCCCAGGATCTGAACCTTCGAACCCTGGGCCGCCAAAGCGGAGCGCGCACACTTAACCGCTATGCCACGGGGCCGGCCCCTATTCAATCATTTATTTGTCAATCTGGACTCACGGATATTTATTTTATACCTTGGGTTCTAATCCAATACTGCTTTATTTTGTTGCCCAAATTGTCCCAGCTTTCGCCAGTGGAAGCGTGTTCAGTTCACCACCATGTCCCGCGGACAAAACCACTTCATTGCGGTGTTTTGTTTTTGTTGTTCTTTTGGCGTACTTCTTTACATTCTGGCACAAGAAGATGCTTCAGGCTCATCTTATCTATTTCCTGCCCCATCCTAGAATCAGCCATTTCTTCTGGGAATCCTGGTTCCTTTTATGAGGAGAATGGGATTAGAAACCCAGATCTGGGTGCTGGGTGTGTGCTCATTGCTACTTGGGTGTTATTGTTTCTAGGACTTTAGAGTTGGCAGAATAAGGAAAGATATATGTGTCTATTGTAGACTTTTTAACGTGTAAATCACAGCCCACCACTCCCCAGCTCAGCTTTGAACCCTCCCTCTGCTTCTCATCACTCTCTCAGCAAAATCCCCCATCCCCAGCTGCCTCCTCCCCAGATCCTCCTCCTTACTGTTCCTACCCTATGTCACCCCACCCTCAGCCTCCCTGGCCTCCTTGCTGGTCCTCCAACATGCTAGTGCTCAGCACCTTTGCACTGGCTGTTCCCTCTGCCTGGGACGCTGTTCTCTCAAACACCAGCAGGGCTCCTCCCGCATCTCCTTCAGATCATCACTCTGCTCATATGTCCTGACCTCAGAGAGGCCTTCCCTGACTCCACTGTCCCTTCCCCCATCTCTCTCTCCCCTCCTCACCTGCCTAATATTTCTTTGCAGCACTTGCTACTTCAGGACACTGTATCTTCTTTTTATTCTTCACAGTTTCTCTTCCTGCTGGAGGATAAGCTCCGGGAGGGAGAGCGGGTCTTTGGTTTGTGCGTGCTATGTCCCAGAGCCCAGAACTGTAGCAGCACAGCTGCCGGATGAGTCAGTGTTGCAAAGCCTGGGTCACCTCCAGGGTACGGAGACACGAGGTTGGATCCAGCCCCATGACTCCAAACCCCGCTGCTCCCCACCATCCCCTTTCCACCATTTCCCCACTCTCTGGACTAGGGAGAGCTTTAGAGGATTTGTTTAAAAGCCAACTGCTGTTTTGTGAACATTGACTTTGTGCCAGGGGGCAGGACTGTTGGCTGGGACTCCTCCCCCAGCCCCGTGTCAAGAGGTGCTGAAGTGACCCCCTCCAGGGTGGCACAGCTGGTAGGTGGTCGGGCTGGGATTGGAACCCGGGCATCTTGGGTTTTCAGTGTGCGTGTTTTACAAATAGGACAACTCGATTTCTGTTAGGAGCCCCCATTCAGTTGGGCCCAGAAACTCAATCTCCATTAGTTCCTCCCTGGCCTCACAAGGCCTGGTTCACCTGGGCCATCTCTGAGCTGTCTGGGTCTTTCTGGACCCTTCAGTCCAGCTCTGACCTGGGATCAAGTGCAGGGGCACAGACCGTCCACCTCTGAGTCATTCTCCAGACGGCAGGCACAGCCTGGGGATGGGGGCTGCAACGCCCAGGGTCCCCGGCTTCTTTTCCCCAGGCACCCCTATCTGGCCATCTCTGCACTCCTCTGAGCCTGTGTCCCCATGAGTCAGACTTTCCAGGAATCAAGTCTGACCTTGGCTGAGCTCTTTAACCAGCTGTGCTGCCCTGACACTGCCACCCTGTGCAGGGCAGCAGCTATCTCGTTGTGTTGACGGGGGCCTGCAGTAAGAAATGCATTTCACGTCCTGACTTAATGCGCACTCACACACACCTACACATGGGACAAAGCCTCGGGGAGGGATACCCACCCTTACTGCGTGGAATACAATCAGATATTCTCTCTTCTGTTCCATTTTTATAAACTCAACCTGCTGAATGGATTTCCAGTACACTAACATGTTAGTATGTCACAACCTGCTGTTGCCGCTGTTGAAAAATACTGTTCTAGAGCAGAAACAGCCAGTCCCACTAAGCACAAAGACTCTACTCTAGAATAACTCAATAATTAACATTTTCCGGGGGTTCACTCTGTGTCAGGTACTGTTATAAGCATTTTACTCGTATTAATCATTTAATCCTCACAACAATTCTAAAAGTTACAAGCCGTTATTAGCATCTCCATTTTTCAGATGAGGAAATGGAGGCACAGAGAGGTTAAGTCAGTTGCTTGAGGTCACACAGTTCCTCAGTGGCAGTGCTGGGCAGTTTGGCTCCAGGGAAGCTGCTCTTAACTGTAAATCTTCACCACACTTTTCTTAGCCAAGGCACAAGGGCAAGGATTTGAGCTGGATAATTTTGCCCTGCCTGCAAGGAAAGGACCCACAGCAAAGTGGGCTTCCTGCCAAGATGGGGCATGGAGGCAGGTGTCTGGAGCCCTTCGTGGAAGGGCTGAGGAAGTGGGTTCCTCACACTTGCACCCCTGTGCCCTGGTGCTGGGCTTGGCTCTGGCTGCCCTGAGATAACCCTGCTTGTGGGCATGCGTGGGCGTCGGTGGTGAGGCCTCTCAAGGTGGAACAGAGCAAAGATGCTTACTGCATCTGTGAGAAGCTGTGGAGGCTGGCTGGCTTTTGAGGGGAAGTTCTGCAGGAGAGGGTGGCAGGCACAGAAGGAGGTAGGCCTGGAGGGCTGTGCATGCTCCTGAGTGGCCTGCAGTGTGCCTTCTGTCCATCCAGGCCTGTCCTCTACTGACCAGTCCCCGCTTCATCAACTGAGACCTCCTTTCTCTTCCATAAAGTGGGGCCAAAGGATTTCCCGTCCAGGAGGTCATGTGAGTAATACGGGTTGACTTCCTCACAGCTAAAGTGCCACTTTTCTTCTAGGACTGCTATACATTCTCCACCATGGCTGGTCCGTTTTATTTACAATTCAAAGGGAACTTGAAGCAGCTTCCTCCAAAACACACATGACAACAGTTAAAAATAAAGTGAGAAAGAGAGATCAGAAACTGTAGAGAGGAAGGCAGAAGGCGAGTCTATCAGGAACTTGAGAGCAGTGATGACTGCACTTGATGTTACAGTTAGCCTGAGTTTCCTAGCACCCCGGGCAAAAGAGGCGGATGAGTCCTACAGTGTGGTCTCAGAAAGGAAGGGCGTGAGGTTTTCAGGAAAGCGAAACTTCTTAGACGGGGGCAGAAGCAGCATGGCACAGTCAGAGGAGCGAGGATCTGGAAGCAGTTCAACACTTACTGACTGTGCGGCCCCCCAAAATGATTCAACTTTCCTGAGCCTCAGTTTTCTTATCTGTAAAGTGGGGCTGATAAGATTTCCCTTGGGAGGCTGTTGTAGTGATCAGAGATAACAGTGTGTGAGGCACATTTGAGCACTTGGCACGCCTCCATTCCCCATCTTGCGTATTACAAAGCATGATTTGAATGGCTGTGAGCAAATACACATTCAGTGAAGACTCCTTTTGGATGATGCAAAAGCATTCCTCATCGACTGTTTCTTACAACGAACTGAAAACCAGGGAGTAGTGTTTAAACAGCAACCCAGCAAAAGCAGAGCGAGGACAGGTGTTCGGAAACCTCGGGGCAGTCTGCTTATTCTGCCATCAAATTTTCTCCCTGAAATGTTCGTTTCTTTTCTGGCTTTTGGCAGTATCTCCCTGGCGTGGGCTGGAGACCTCTGCCAAGGACCAGTGATCTGGGCCTGGGGTAGCAGTGAGGATGTGAGCCTCAGATGTTCCATTGGGAAGGATGTTAGGGTACACTCCTGGGGACAGACCCAACATTCTTCCCCAGAGGGACCCGTGGTCCCTCCTGGCTCCTCCACAGTATCCAGTTGAGAGTCCAGAGCCTGCAGCCTAGATCTTGGACAACTGGGGCCATTGAATAATCCATTTGTCTTGCCCAGATTCTCGCCCCTTTCCTTGCTAGAAACAGAACAGTCTCTGTCTCTGCAGAGCCCATGGCAGCACGGCTGCATCCATCGCTGGGCCCAAGCTGGGCCTGGGAGGCCAGAGCATCTCTTGGGGAGAAAGAGCCCCTCCCCAAGCCTGTTTCCTCATCTGTCCAAGGGAGCAAAGCAGGTGCTTTACCTCCCAGAGTGGGTTGGAGAGGGTCCTTTAAGTCATTGTTTGACTAAGCAGTTGACTGGCTGTCATCCCCCATTACATCCTAGAAGGATTTGAAACCACTACTATAATCCTGGGGGATGGCTACCCCCCCACCATGGTCTTGACCCACCAAAGCCTGGAGGCCACTGCTTTCTCTCTAGGGTGGAGCCTGGTGGGACTTTGAGCTCCAAGCCTCTCCCGGCCTCACTCACCCTCCCTCATGCCCAGTTACCTCGCACTTGGCGCTGGGGACGCTCCCAGGGTGTCTAGAGGAGCAGTGACCGC